TCTCGAAGTGAACACCATACCACGATGCGAAGCGCCTCTAAAGTATCATTCGGTTTCTCGTTGACCATCAAATACCACATACTTTAAAGTTTTTTTGCTAGTGATAAGAAGCATTTGTTTTATTTGATGGAAACAAACGAAAATTATCATAGAAGTCAATGATTTACGTTTTCATTTTTTTCGTGAGTAATTGCCCACAGTTACAGATTTTTGATAGTGTTGAAGATACCAAAATTGTTAATTACTATGCCATTTTAGAGTGTGTTTGTTACATAATTAGTGAGTGACAAATGGTTACGCATTTTTACAGAACAAACAAATCTTTTTTTGCAGTTTTATATTGAACTTTTTGAACGTTCATGTTTCAAAATGCAAAATTTGCTTCGTTTGCGCTATCTTTTCCTAGTATACTTCATGTTTTTTTTCTCTATCTGTTTAGTGTCCCCCAAATATGTCTTTTTCACGTTTCAAAAAATTTATAACGTTGTTAAACCGTGGTCTACGTTAAAAATTTTTCTTCCTGTGGTTTTGCAGGAAGAAATTTTTGTTTTAGTTTTTGTTGTGATTGTTGTTTGATGTTTATACTAAAAAATGTTGTGCTCTGAATAATTTCCGACTCGATTGTTTGTCCCCAAAGTTAAAACTAAAAGTTTTAAAGTTTTTCGCAAAAAAAATATGATTTCATTTTTCCTTTTAAACTAACACATCATTCATTTCAATCATATTTTAATCAATAAAAATCAGATTTCAAGAGAAACTGAGCTTCGCGAATAAATTGAATCGCTGGAGTTTTGCGCCCTTATCTTGAAAACTAAAAAAAAATTGCCTGCAAAAACTTATTTTTCCGACCATTGAAAATGGGGAAGAATTTTGTATTCGGGTGTGTTTTAATTTTTTTTCTTTTTTTTTGTTTTCGATGCAAAATCAGATATCACAGTTAATCATTGGAATTTTTTTTTATAATTTGAACTACTTAGGACAATTTTGAAAAGTTTCCCAGTCTTGAGAAAAATTGGTTTAAATTGGTTTAGAGCAAGTAAAGCAATCTAGTAACCCTAGTTCAATATGAAAATGAGCACTTTACGCTAAAGAAAACTTGATTTCACAAAAACGGAACTAGTTTTGATGCGTCACTTTAGCGCATCTGTAACAAAAAAGCTAAATTTTTAAAGCAAAAAAATAAATTTTTTAAATATTAAAATTTTTAGTGCAGAATTGAAAAAAAATGTTTTTTCTTTTTTTGTTAATTTATTTTGTGAAGACAATTTTAACCGTTTATGCCTAATTCGCTTGTATAGTTTAATCATCTCACAACGCGCAAAAAAATGTGAAAATGTGGTAGGAGCATTCAGTGCTACTTGCACAGCAACCGGCTACCCTTAATTTTTACACATAAGAGAAGCTGCGCTGCGCAAACAAAAGCAAAAAAAAACGACAAAAAACAGTTTTTTTTAAAAAAAAGTACCAATAAGACTAAAACTGTTGAAACGTTCAATATCTGTCTAATTCGAGACTGCACCATTGAAATTTGATTACGACTAGCACCCAATACGCAGCTATAGATGAGAGCTTGCCAAGGCTTTGCAGCAAAAATGTCACCAATTTTAAATAAAAAAGTGCTTAAGGTGGCTTTGAACCTCAAGTAGCTTAGGAATCTCAAGTCCTCCCCTCTGAGCCACGGACAATTGACTAACAGCAAACACTAGCCACCAATAAAGCAGATAAATAATGCTATAAATGCAGATAACAAATGCTATTTTTCAATGCTACAGATCGTGATTGTGGCAAAAATGCCACCAAATGAGCAACAAACAGCTCGCTTGTATAAAACGAGACTTAAAGTAGGTGGTTGAGCTCAGGGTTGAGCATGCTAGTTCCACTAATTTTTGTGGAACTAGCATGGTTGGGCATGCTAGTTCCGCAAAAATTTTCAGATATCGCAAGGAATTAGGACAAAAGAATAATCTGAACTACGTCCGCACAAATTAGGACGAAAAATGTATCCAAAAAGAATGCTGGCGAACAAACTGTCGTCCATATAATTTTTTTCGCTATCATCAAGTTTCGGTAGGTATGAAAGTGAAACACCATAATCATTTTAGCCAGCTTAAGCTTGAGTTGGAATCGAGAGCAAAATACTTTACTGAGAGAGCGAAAAAAAAATTAGTATACTAGAAACAAATAGCGCAAACAAAGCAAATTTGGCATTTTGAAATGATTTTTTTTTGAAAATTAGGAGCAAAATGTGAAAAAAAAACAATTTTAAGGTAGTTTGTGATCTGATAGCACTTAGGCCCTCCTTAAATTGAGTCTTTTGTTTAGAGAATTTATCGTTCTACAAAAATACAGAGGCTAGAAAGCACTTAAAACAAAATCGAAATCAATTGGCAAAAACTTGATAGAAAATTATACAAAAAAATGCACCATTTCATGACTTTAATTACCCTCGCCAAAACCAAAAAACGTAACAACAGCAGACCAATCAAGAGTCGAGGGAAACATCCGAACAAAGATTTTTTCTTGGAAAAAACTTGATAAAAAATTCAAAAAAAAACTCGACAAAAATTTTAAAACTTTTTTCATGATTTCTCTCAATGTCTTTCAAAACAGGGCATAGAAATGATTTTAAAATTCCAAACATACTCTATCAAAGTTGAATGAATTTTAAAAAATGACTGGAACAATTTAAAAACATTAGGCAAATAAGCCGACAGAATTAAAGCCGAAAACAGCCGAAATTTTATCAGTAGAGAAAAATCATAAAAAGATTTGTATCTACCCGCTACAATGCAGCCTTATACAGTCAAAAAAAGTACGCTGCATTCCCTGCATCTTTGTAAATTCACAATTTCAAACTTGTATCTAAAAATTTACCATTATGTGACCAAAGTTATTTACGGGAAAAGTCTACGTTGTACTAGACTTTTTTCTCTAAAATAGTTGAAGTTAAGTAGATGGTTAGACTTTAAAAAAGCATTCTATTTTCACTGCCTTTTAGTGGATTTGAAAATCAAAAAGAAACTGAAGCGGTTGAATTTTGAACTCTTATAGAAGAAAAAAAAAAAAATTTTTTTTTGCTGAGATTCATTGTTCAATGACGACTTAATGTAGGTGGTTGAGCTACACGTTGGCGAAGCTTCAGGTCTAACTTTAGCTAAAACATACTTTTAGCACGTTACTTTTCAAATAAAACTGCAGGATTGCACCAAGAAGTCTCTGTAGCCTATCTTGAGCAGTATATTAATAGTGATTTACTAAACAAAAACATAGCCAACAGACAGTTGAAAAAGAATCATGAACCCAAGGAAGCAGAAAAATTACTGACTTCAACAACTTTCCAATTACATAAAAAATATATATGGCCCAAAAGTCTTTGCATTTCAAGAACAATTTATGATTGACACTTTTTCGATAAAATGAACCCAATTGAGAACTGGACAAATAGGTAAAAAATTTTAATTCGCTGGAAAATCTGAAAATTACTTTCTATGTTCGAAACTAGACGTCTCTCAAATTTTTAGTGATCTCTTCGATGGTGGAAATTTTCCTTCATTTTAACAAGGGAACTGAGGTGAACTTAAAAAGAACTCAAAAGCCATACCGTAAACAAACTTTAAGATTTTCTCCTTAAAAAAGTTAAAACATCACAACAACTGTATAAGAGTATTCACCACGTTCATGACTCAGAAAGATTACGTCTCAAATGGCAGAATTCCCACATAGCATAAGAAAGAAAAATTGCCCAAATGGCACAAATTTTATGCAAGTTGCCTTGAAAAAAATCGAGATCAATTTTTTCGTGAACATTATGAGAAATTAAGTCAAAATGTCAATTCAAATGTTGATTGACATTTTATATTGAAAAAATTGTAGATTTTATATCAAAAGCAAGAAGCATAAACTTGCGGTTATTAATAAGCTTCTTATGGTCAAGTTTTTGACAAATTTGTTGCGTAAATTTGTTTGGAAGCAATTATTTCCAAATCTTGTTCACATACTTTCTTTCCTGACACAATTTTAGAATTAGAAATTGATAGAAAACGTTTAAATTACATTGAAAACTTAAAATTTATGCCATTTGGGAAAAGTTTTCATTTGTATGCCATTTGGGAATTATGCCATTTGGGAAGTTACCACTCACAAGTATTTCTCCAAAAACTAAAAACTACTTCTCCAGCAACTTAAAATTTTTCAGAAAAACGCCATCTTTTTCTTGCTGATTGCAACAATCTTATTATAAATTTAAAAGTACACATGTTTTTTAAACATTGCTTTAATTCGGAAAAAAATGTTTGACAAACGCATATTTCGAATATCATACACCAGAAGAAAATTCAACTGGAGCAATTTCAATGTTAAGAATTAAACCTTGTTTTTTCTTTTTTGGTACCGCATTTTGTGAAACTGCAAACTTATGACTGACTGTTAATGCTAAAAGACTATACTTTTAGCAAGTTGTGCTGATACAACAACTAGTTATGGTCGTCTTTTACTGCAGTTAAATGATTTTATTCAAAAATTAATGAGGAAACTAGAGCATTCATTGATATATTGTTACCGTCAAAAATTGAAACTACATTGAACTTTGAAAATTTCGGGTTGATGACTGACCTTTGCGTTTTACTGTAACTTTTGGAACGAAAAAGCTAAAATTTTCTAAGTCCTAAATTTTTTAAACTAATTTGAGAAAACTATATCAATAGAAACTGTATGTTTTTATTTGACTGGGAAATCTGATAATTAAATGCCATCATCGAATTAAATGTCGATCACGTCTTTTGTGACCTTTTTATTTTTGCAGTTCGATATTTGCAGTTCGAATCAAAATTGAACTTTCCCTGAAAAAAAATCACCACCCCTAGATAAGAGTACTCACCACGTTCATGACTCGAGAAAAAAATTTCGATTGAGTTGTTTTCAGTTTCAATATTGTTAGATTCAAATACTCGCGCGCTAGCGGGGCTAAAAAAAAACAATTCTGATGTTTAAAAAATCTTTAATTAAACCTATAACGTGACATGATTCATGAAAATCTGATACAACCATTTACAACATTTGACAATTACAGATATAAATTACATAGTTTTCAGTCATGACTCGTTTCTATTTACAAAATTGCATTTCTACACAAGCTTTTACTTTCAATCTTCACTCAATTCCATTTCACGAAAAGATTCAGTTCTAATTACAGGTAAATTTGGTTCTTAAAAAGAAGTCCAAAGCTTCTTTGAATTTCTAGAACAATTTATGATGGAGTCCAAAATAGCATCCTTTGACGATTTATCAGTATGGCGAGCAGGTCGAGTTTTACAAACTCTCGCTTTTCTTGACTGTCTCAGTTGCCCTCAATGACTAGTCTCTCCTCGTTAGCGTTCAGCTCTGCCTGTGCCTGTGCCATCTCACTCTTCCGCTTGGAGAGTGACTGCAGCTTCAGCTCCATCACAGCATTGATCTTCTCCCATCTCGTCTTCTGGTGTCGCAATTTGTCCTCGTTCTCCATCACGTCCTTCTTCCTACTCCTCAGTTGCTGAAAACAAACACATATGAGAACCGGGACAATTCCTCATCGTCGAAATCTATATTCGCCAAGCAGAACAACACAAACTTAGCCAACACACAGCTGGAGAAGAGTTAATAAACTTATAAAATTCTAAGAAAAAATAGATGACCTTCAATCTCTTTGAAAAACTTTGCTTGACGACTTTTAAATAAAACAACCCCATTTGAGAAAACTGCGTCAACAGGTAATTTTTTTCGGTGGGAGACCTGAAAATTAAATTACATTTTCGAAACAAGAAGTCAACCACGTTTTTCGTGATCTTAACTCTTTTGCTGTTCAAAAGTCGAGATTGCCTTCCTTTTAGCAAATAAAATTTACTGAACTTGAAAGAAATCATAATGCAAACCGCGAAAAAGTAAATTTGAGCCTGAAAAATTTTCAGAACTTCCGGGAAAAAATGAGAAAAAATCATCACGACCTACATAATGGTCTGAACTCCGTTCAGTGATTTTTAAAAATTTGAAACAATCGCGAAAATTTAGCACAGTTCAAAAGACGTTGATTGGAAAATTTTTTTTTGCCCATCGACATTTCAAGCATACGAAAAGGCCCAACACCACAATCAGACCATTGTAAATAAACAATTAAATAGCAGACCAGGGGCGGATCTAAGATTTTCTCGAGGGGGGGGGGGCGGATTTTCAAAAAATTTTCCAAAATTTTGACGACCTTTTTTTTTAGGTCGACCAAATTGATTTTTCGAGCTCTACCAAAGTACTGTTTTGCCCCTATTTTGGCAAAATTTTGTGCGCCGCAGGCAAACTTTTGAAAAAACAGTCAAAAAAGCCGTTTTTGGGCACTTTTTGAAAAATGTTGACAAAAAAATCGCGTTTTTTTGGCGCGCGCTCCCCCTCAAAGTTAGTATATATTGGCGCCAAAGGCGCCTTTAGAAAAATTTTAGGGTCGGTCGGCCAAAATTGGATTTCCGAAAAAGTATCAAAGGGGGGACCCTTTGGGTCGGCAGGGGGTCGAATCCCTGAGGGGGGGGGGGCGTGCCCCCCCCCCCTAAATCCGCCCCTGTAGCAGACCCTGCCGCTACAGCTGCATGAAAAATGACAACGATCAACTTTAACCAAAAAATAGGTTGGATGGATGGATTTGTAGAAGGTTCTAAGGATAGCTGTATGAATAAATAGTTGTTTGAATGATTGGTTTGATGGATGAAAAGATGGATTGAAGGCAGGATGGATAGCTGAATGGATAGCTGAATGGAAGCATGGATGGCTGCCTAGATGGATGACTAGACGGCTAGTTGGATGGATGGTTGGAGGGATGGATATCTTGAGTCATGGCTGGATCGAAGAATGATTGATTGGATCTATGAATGGTTGAATTGATGAGTATGGATGGATGACTAAATGGATGGATGAATGAATGGTTGGTTGGTTGGATGGATGGCTAGATGATTGGATGACTTGTTGGTTGAAAGGCTTGTTGGATTGATGGCTTGATATATGACTGGCTGGATGGCTAGATGTTTGAATGATTAATTGGTTGAAAGGCTATATGGTCGATCGCTGATATGACTGGCTGGATGGCTACATAGATGGATAGCTAGATTGCATCGCTTGAAGAAAGATTGGTTTGATGGATGAATGAACGGATGGCTTGTTAGATGGAGAGATAACTATTGGACTGATGGGATTATCGACATTGAAAGGCTGCGTGGATGACTACTGGGATGCAGAGATGGCACGATCGATGAACATCTATATCAATGGATTGCTGATTGGATAGATTGATGACAAGATAAATGGATGGTTGATTGGATGGATCATTCGATGTGAATATGGATGGTGGCGTGATGGCTGACGGATGTACGGCTGAACCAATGGAGGGCCAGATGCATGGGTGGCATACTGAATGGATAGATGGCTGGTTGGATGGATAGACGCCTGGTTGGAAGGATGGATGGATAGATTGATGGTTAGATGGATGGATCGCCTGAATAATTAATCGCTTGATGAATGGATGGCTGGACGGATGGATGGCTATAAAGATAGATGGCTTGATGGCTGGAGGGATGGACCGATTAAATGATGATAGGCTCAATGGTAAGCTCGCTTGACGAACAATACTCCTGATGGATGCGTTTATGGCTTGATCGATGGATTGGTAGGATATCCAAATGGATGGACGGCTTGTTAAATGGATGTACGGATGGCTGATTGGACCAGAGAACACTGAAAGAATCTCAGCAAACAAAATAAGGGCCATACCTTCAACCCCACGCAGTAACCTTCGACACAGAGGCGGCGCTGCGGATCGCAAACAAGCGAAGAAAATGCAAGAACGAACTCTAAACAGGCAAGGCAAAACACCTTGAGAAAAATTAGTATCACGATCTCACATCTGCTCCACTACCGCTTGTATTTTTAGTAACACTAGCCACCAATGGAATAGCTACAGTTTTTATCAAACTGCCAAAACTCCGCGCCAAAAACTCGACCAAAAAAAACTAAATTCGACTAAAACATTGATTCAATGTTCCGGATTTGAATCTAATGCTGCATTCATCTGTTTTAAAATTTTTAATCATGCGTATTTTCAAAAAAAAAAGAATTGATCCCAAAACCCTAGTAATTTCACTTTTTCCATTGAAGTCTATCTCAGATTTGGCAAGGTAGTTTTCGAAAAAGTAAAAAAGATTCCAAAAAACGATAAAAAAACTCAAAAACTTGACTTTTCTTAAGTTCATTAACTTTTCTGTACTGAGGCAATGGGACAGCCTTTTGTGCATGGAAGACGTCCAATTCCTGATTTTTGGACTGAACTCGTGACATCAGACTAAGCTACTAAATTTTCGAGAATGAAGAAAATTCTAAAACAGTTTAAAAAATCAAAAAAGGATTTTTCCGAAATCAATATCCGCTCTTTTACACATAAAATAAAGACAAAAAAGATTGCTCAGGTAAAACTTAAGTACCATGTTAGTTTGTTTGAAATATCAACCTCAGAATCAGCAGGTTGGTTGTTAAAAAAAGGTTTCAAAAAACGGGCAAGAATTCAAAAATTGCACATTTTCTGAAGCCAATCTTATTTTCAAAACCCAGCACACAGCCACTTGGACAGCGAAGATTCCCATAACTGATTGTTTAAGTTTCGGTTAAACTTTAGGTAAGAGCCGCTTGAGAGGGGGATATCCCCATATATGATTATTTTGATTGAAACTCTCTCAGATTTGTGCACTTCATATTAGAGAAAATGCAGAAATTCCAAACAAATAGGTCGAAAATCTCTCTACTGAAACTTTCGAACGCCGTAGAACGTGGGGTGAAAAGAGACTAGCGAAAAAAGCAGGCACATAAAAGAGCAGCCGATCCAATTTTTTATTGGTACCTTTTTTGAAAAACTGTAGTTTGAGAAAAATTAAAACTTCTGCAAAAAATGCATAACTTTTCCAAAGCGTAGCAAAAAACCCATACATTTTTATGATACCTGTTTTATTTCTCAAACAGAACCTAACACTAACCAAAAACAAAGCCGCAACAAATGCTCTTAAATTGCGTATTCATAAATAAACTTGAACATGATTAAATTGCAATATAACGGAAGTTCCACAATAGTTCCACCAAAACTTTTTGTGAGAGACTTAGGTTAGAAAAAAAGTGCCTCATAATAAAAACACTACGTTTCACATGTGTAATCACACCGCCATGAGATCAAATGTTTCTAAATTTGAAAAATTTACGACTAAGCTTTAGAAACTTTTGATAAATCAAAAAACATCACATCTCGAAAAACAAAAAAAATTGAGGAATCATACATATGTACATATCTGCAACAGCTGGGAGTATCCTGGCATCACACAATTTCAAATTCACACAAACTCAAACTTCAGAAATTTTATAAACACTTTAAACATTGCATTTTTTTTGAAAGTTTCGACTAATCATTAAAACGCCACTTCACGGAAAATAAAAGGCGTTGAGCAGTCACAAATAAAGTTGTGACCTGCAAACCCTGGGATCATCTTGACAGCACGCAACAAGAGGGTTTCGAATTTCAAAAATTTTGAATTTAAAGTGTTTTAAATCTAAGTTTTTAAAAAACTTTTTAAGAAAACATTAAAAATGTTATTTCTCCGAAAATAGAAGGATTGGAGCAGCCATATTTGGAGGCAAGATTTGAAACTCCTCAAAGTACCCTGAAAGCACACCATTAAAGGGTTAGAATATTCAAAGTTTGAAATCACACAAATTGTCATACCCCAAAACTGAAATGTTTCAGGCATTCAGTTTTGGATGCCAACTTCGCAACTCCTGGGAGAACCCTGATAGCACCCCGTCATAGGGTTGCTACTTTCAAATTTGAAAAAAAGAAACGCTGGAGCGAAAAACGCTCATTACATGATGTAAAGATGAATGAATCACATCTTTACACTACCCTACACTGCGCACCCCTCCTTATCCCCATGCTGCATCACACTTGCATTACATTTGGGCCTTTCAAGTGACCTAGCATTCATAAACGGGAAAATCGAAAAAAAACTCAGCGTGGCATTATACGATATAGCTTAAACATGAAAAATTCTTTCAATAAACATGCAATATTGCTTAAAAAACTTAAACATGGTGAGATAAGCGTCAAACGCATTTAAAAACATTATAAATATAAATAGATTATAGATAGATACATATTCTTTCAGGGTGACTCTTGAGTTTTTTTAAGTCTCTGCAATCGAATAAGTTCTGCTCAGAAATATTTAATTTTGATGTTATAATAAATATCCATCCCTTCTTTACTTATGTGACCGAATGGATACCTTGTTTCGTGAAGCTTACAATGCATGCACTCTCTTTTATTGTTTTCAAAAAGGAAAAGGGATGATGCTAAGTTCTCCTTGCCTTTCCGAGGTTGACCTGTTCGTTCATCTTGGCATTGTACATCTCCCTCAGTGTGTTTTTCTTGGCAGTTGGGTCTGAGGAAGTGTACGCTTTCAACTCCTTCTTCACTTGCTCATCCTCAAACGTCAACTTCTGAAACACGTCAATAGTGATAACACGTCAATATTGATTAAATTTTCCGATTAAACTAACTAAATCAAAAGTTTCAAAGAAAAACATAGCCAACAGACAGTTGGAAAAGAGTCAATGAAGGCACGTAACTTAACCCATAAAACTATGGATAAAATTAATCCAATTTGAGAAAACTGGATCAAAAGGTAAATTTTATATTCCGAAGAGAAAATTAAATTCCACTTTAGAAACCTTTACACTTTTGCTGTTTGGTAGAGTTTGCCTTTTTTTCACAACGAAAAGGAGCTGAACTTAAAAAGAAATCAAAAATCAAACCTCCGAAAAGTAAATGTGAGCCTGAACAAGTTTTAAGACTTCCTGAAAAAAAAATAATCGTGACCTATATAAGAGACTGAACTACGCTGGGAAATCTACAAATTGGAATCCACTTTCGAAACTGGAATTCGATCACGTTGTTTGTTACCTATACACTTTTGCTGTTCGATAGTGGAGTTTGCTTCCCTTTTGAGAAAGGAAATGAACGAACAGATCTTATTTAAAAAAATAATCAACCAAACCACAAAAACTCGAACTTGAGCGAGAACAAACTGTTAGAATTTTCAAAAAAAAACTAACGATTAAAAAATCATCACAGCCTATATGAGAGTCTTCACTGCTTTCACTGACTCCTAAACACAAGCGTAGCTGCACTTCACAAACAAGCGAAATACGCCAAGAAGTAGCTTTAAAAGGGTCATAAAAATAGGCAAGAAAAAAAAGAAAGTAAAAATGAGTTTTGAAAGATGAATGAACTCCCCGGAACTCAAACCTCAATCCTCTGACACCAAAACACTAAATTACTCTGCCGTCCATATCTGTACCAATGGATCTTACAGAAACAAAAAACAATTCATTAATTAATTGGAGAATACATGCTATTAAACTGCCAATACTATGCAACAAGTGCCACCAAAATGAGCCTTTTTTCGAGTTGGGTAGTGCAAGTTCGGGTAGTTTAAAAACAGCCGACAGACAGATGACAAAGTGTCAATGACCCCGAATATTTTGGAAACACTTGCAAAGGATTAATATTATGACCTTAAGACCTCTGAATCGGCCTTTAAAAAGTTTTTTGATTGACACTTTCATGACTAAACTAAATCAATTAAAGCAATCTAAATGAAAAGTTTGCTTGTATTCAGCTGGAAAATTTAGTAAGTAAAATCCATTTTTGAAACAGGTTCAATCAAATTTTTTTGCACCATTTATATTTTCGTTGTTGGAGAGAGCGTAATTTGGCTTCCATTTAATGAATGTATTAAAACAGAAATCAAAATTCAAACGTTGAAAAACAAATTTGAATGTAAACAGTTTCCAGCCTGACAAAAACGAAAGAAAAATCAACACAACCCTAATAAATATCTTTACTACGTACATTCATTGACAGCTAAAAATTTATTGTTATAAGCATCAACAAACAAAAACAAAAATATATTATGAAAAAAAAATACAAGTGTCATAAACCATTAGCTAAACAGGTTGCAATTTCTTTCTTTTATTTATTGTAGCTCACTTCTCAGTCTTCGTATCTCGTAAAAAATGCATCATACCGGTGTTATTTTCACTCCAGTGATTTCTGTTTGTTTGTTTCACCTTCTCATCAAAATGAGGATAAGACTAATACGCCAATTTTTTGTGACTGTTTTAATAATTTTCCTTATATTTCTTTTTAATTCATTTTTCTTGCAGCCAGCTTCGAGAGAAACTTATCAAGAAGCACTTCTATGGCCATCGATGAAAACATCAACAGAAACAAATTTGTTAAATTCACAAAAAACTGATAAAAAATCCCTTTCAGAGCCATTTAAGTTTTTAATATTTGTGAGAATAAAGAAAGCAGCTCTTAGTATTCTTTATAAATTTTCTAGTGGAAGCTCTTTAATCTCCAGTATTATCCACTCTAAAATAGCCATTGAATTCATTTCAAAAAATGCGGTCTCACTAGAATTAGATGATAATTCATTACTGTCAAAATTACAGATCATTTACAACACAAGCATGTTTACACCGGAGAACTACAGTCGTGTTATATCTGCCAAAGAAAACGATCAACTAACTACTGCAATTATCAAAAATTTAGGACACTGGTTCGTCGAATTAAGAGAACACAACTTACAAAATTCACATGAACATCGAAATTGGTGCAAACAAAACCTCAAATTAGAGCAGGAAAACATTCGTGAAGAAATTTTAGGCCTTCAATTTGGAACGCAGTGCGAAATATCGAAAGATATGATTGTCGTTCCCAATGCCTTAAGCGCATGTGGTTTTTCTTGCACTATGCACCGCTTAGCCCACTGCGTGCATTTAGGGTTGACACTTAAAGCACCCTGCCTTATTGACGATAGTAAATTTCCATATGGTGCCGGAAACTTCAGAAACTTCTTCTCAAACTCAAAAAACTGTGCTGGTATTCGTAGAAAGCGCATTATCTTTTTTTCACCATTATTAAAGGTTGAAAAATATAGAACAATGGGATTTCCAGCTTTACCTAAAAATATCATGGAAAAGCTCAAGTTTTGCCACGAAGACTTACCCGCTTGGTATTTTGGCGTTATTCATAGTACTCTTCAAGAACTTTCAGAAGATACCTCAGAAAAAGTACGGCAATTAATTTCTTCAACAAAAATTCCTCAAAATCAAAGTTTCGTGACAGTGCATATTCGAAGTACAGACAAAATTTTTCACCAAACTATTTTTCATGCCTCGGATTATCTACGTTACGCTAGCTTAGCGTCACTGTTTTTCGGCCGAAATTTCTCGGAAATCACGAATTATTGGATAGCAACTGATTCTCAGCATAATGTTTTCGATTTTTATAACCAGCAATCAGCCAAAAAAGTGAAATTATACAGTGTGAGCCAACGAACATACAACGAACTAAATTTCGCTACCGAGAGGTACTTATGTCCACTGGAAACTAATTAAATGTAATTTTCCGCGCCGAGACACTTTTTGCTTAAAAATTTTCAATTTTTCTCGATATGCTAAACAAAGAGGCTATACCTTTCTTCGCGTTAGCATACAAAAAAAACAGAATAGTTTGAAACACATAGCCAACAGACAGTTGGAAAAGAGTCCATGAACGCAAGGAAACGAAAAAAAAAGAAAAAATGACTTGCTTTTCGACCAAACTTCAAGTTCAAAGCAAAAATATATGGCTTTACAGCTCTTTGAATTTCAAGAATTATTTCTGATTGACTTTATAGTTGAGCACAGCAAACTTTAAGAAGGATATATTGTCCAAACCATTGTATAAGTTAATTTATATTTGTTTGATAAACAAAAAAGTAGTTTTTACTACATAAAATACCAACATTTTATTTAAAAACAATTTTTGAACGGTTTACAATTTTTTATGGACAATATACCCTTCTTAAAGTTTGTTGGGCTACGTAAGGGGCTCGCTTTGATATAATTATGTCTATGATTGACTGGGTATTTTTGGCGTAATTTCTGATTAACTAAGAAAAGCTAAAAATACCCATTTTTGGGGTAAAATTTTGGGCCCGAATTTCGCAAAACAAATTACACCATATTAATTTTGCTGAAATTTTAAGCAAGTTTTGTCTTTATAAATTTTCACCTAAACTCAACCCAATTTGAGAAAAACGCTTTTGACCGGTTAATTTAAACCAGCACTGTAGAAGTCGATCACATTTTTCGTGACCTGTACACTTTCGTAATTGAAGAGCGCAACTTACCTAACTTTTAGCTGATTAAATTGAAATGAAATCAAATTGTGCATATATACCTAGAAGCTTTCATAAATGCATTAATATGTATGAATGCGCTTCGGTAAAATTTAAGAACTAAAAGATTTTTCCTGAAAAAAAAAACGAAAAAAAAAAACAACGACCATTATAAGAGTCTGAACTACATTTATCGACTCTTAAAAAAATGGTGGAGATGACCAGGAAAAAAATATTTTGGCTTTGCAACAAAAATTTGGTTGCATTGAAAAGAACAAAGTTCAGCATAGACTAGGATGTGACATACATTTCAAGAGTCAATAAATTTTTCTTTGAGCCAAATGAAATTGGAAAAAGTTGTCTTTGATGTAAACCAATAGCGAAGCGCAGGCGCAGATCAAAAATATCCTCAAAGGTGGGTGGGCAAACTTTCAAAAAAAATTAAACAGAACTTTTAAAATTTGTCGAGCTCGATTTTAGACAAATCAAGGCAAAAGTGACGTTTTATCTGTGATTTAAAATAACGAGCTGAGCTCCAAACTTATGTGTGATTTTCTCGGTATTCGAACAAAATTTCTTCTGGAGATCTAAGACAAGATAAAGTCCAAAAAAGCCAACAGACATTTGGAAAAGAGTCATGAACGCATGAAAACAGAAAAAAAAATACTGACTTGTTTCTTGAAAAAAAAAATCAAATTTCGAAGTATACGACATTAAAGATATTTGAGTTTCAAGAACAAATTATTGTTCACACTTTGAATATAAAAATAACTCAATTCGAGAAAACTTAATCAATAGGTAAATTTATTACTCCGCAGGAAAATCTGATAATTAAAATATACTTTCGAAGGTAGAAGTAGATCAGCTTTTTCGTGACCTGACTTTTGCTGTTCGATTTCGATAGTGGTCTTCCATCTAACAAAAAAATGACGTTAAATTGAAAAAAAAAATCAAAAATCATAATTGAGCGTGAAAAAAAAACAAACCAGAAAAATTACCAAGACATATATAAGAGTATTAACAAGTTCATGAATCGTAAAAACGCGGTAAACAAGGTCTTTAATATGATACTACACTTGGATTCTTACGAGTTTTCCTCGAAGTACCTAAAACCCGTCGGAAAAACCTACCCTGCGTCATTTTCCCTTCCCGTCACTTCAAATTGATGTTTTTCTCGGCTTAAATATGCTCCTATGATAGTGTAGTTCATAACTCGAATATGATGTTGTAACAGTTTGCCCTCCTGGAGTCCTTCGTGAAAGTTGAATGGAAACAAAATGTTTCCTAAAAATATAAGGAATTTCCAAAAACACTAATGGACGTAAGCCGTGTAGGTATAACGGAAACTCTCTTCTCAACTTTCTAGCAGACCTTGAAATGATGAAAAAGTCCAGTTTCCATTTTGGAACCGCAAGCAGCGCCGGATTTCTTCTCACTTACGAAGCCAGATGCTTGAATCACATGTTCGTCACCGATTATATTTTTGGGCTTGATAAACACTACTATTACCCTATACAGCAACAACCCAATTTGGGAAAACTAGTTGACTGTTCAACCATTTTGACGAGACCCTACAAAACATTTGCGACGTATAATGAAATAAAAAGCGAATCATCTGCAGTTCTCGAATCATTCAGAAATCCGAAATTATGCGAAGGTCAAATGGTCAATTATGAAATGAACATAAAAGTTCGCGAATCTTGGTATGAGATACATTTTCTAGATTTGTCTTTTCACAACTCTCGAAAGCTCTTCTATGTTCCCTCATATGTTGTGCAGCATGAAATTTATATCATTTCTTAATTGAATTCAGGAGAATCCATCCAGTTAGTTTATTAACGTCCATAAATTTTTCTTTCGCTAGGAAATCTGATAATTTATTTCCATTTTCGAAAATAGAAGTCAATCACGTTTTTCGGGACCTTTTTAATTTTGCTGTTTGATAGAGGAGTTTTCATTCCTTTTAACGAAGAAAATGAGCTGAACAGAAAAAGAAATCACAAGTCAAACGCGAAAATCAAAAATGAGCGTGAACAAATTTAAAAAAAAATCAGCAAGACCTATATAAGAGTTTTCACTACGTTCATTACTCTTAAAAAGATGGCCTTAAAGCACTTTTTGCAGAGTTTGTGGAACACTTTATGAGTGATACTTTTTCAAAAAAAAATGAGAAAACTGAATCAATAAGTAAATCAATTTTTACTTCGCTGGGAAATCTTTTACAATTTCGCTATTCGACCTTTAAACGAAGGAAATGAGCTGAACAGAAAAAAAATCATCGCCACCTATATAAGTCTTACGTTTTCTTTAAAAAAATCGTGAGCATAATTACGCTTAAATGAGGCTTCAACTTACGAACTAACATGAGCTTCTTTTGAACTACATCAAAGTTTGAATATAGCTAATCAACAGTTGAAAATTTAAAGAGAGACCGCCAAAATTGACTTCTGCAATCGAATAATTAGAAAACCTTATCTAAGGATTGATTCATATCAATTGATCTCGTTTTACAGCTAATTAGAATGTATTTAACTATAAATTTAACTATTACAAATAGCGTATAAATTATGCATTTCAAAAATCTCGAAGTATATCGAGTTGAAAAATCTCTGAAATGGGATTCTAATTATTATCCTTTAGTATGAAACAATTAACTTTTTCTGCTCAACTGATTATGTCAACTAATACTAACCAAATGTCAAAGCACATCTAAATGAAATTCAAAAGTGCCACCAAAAGCAGCACTTTTATTTGCGACTTAGTTTGATAGTAAGTTCCAGCGTTCTATCACACTACGCTACGTAATTAGCAAAGGAACAAAACTTTCGAAGCGAAACGGAAACAAAGTCGACAATCTTTGAACAGACACAAAAAACAAAGATTTTCAAAAAATCTTAAACATTTCAAGTCCCTATTGAAACTATAATGAACAACACTTGCACTTGCAACTACAAGAAAAATCCGTCATTTGACAACGAAGCCGACAATCTTCGAAGTTTTTCTTTTGTGAACTTGGAACAAACCAGTCACAAATAAGGTTAAAAGGAAGGTCGGACTGGCGATCGGAAGCGCAAAAGAGAATCAACGAAAAGATCTTCGAAGACATCAGAGAAGATGTGAACAGACAAAAGGAGGAGCGTCGATATGAGTTATACTCGAAGTTGGTACCGGAAAACAACCCACACAGACGAATGACAGGTGGGAAACCACTTCAGGAAGGAGAAGGACGTTCGAGAGAAGCAGAAGTTAGTCTCCACCGTATTAGACTCAATAGAGCTCCATTTCTGCGGGAAACCCTCTTTAAACACGGGAAAATAGAGGAAGGGTCGTGCCCGCATTGCTTCAGCGAAACTGAAGACACCATACACTGGCTTACGAAATGCCCCAAATGGGATCAAGAAAGAAATGCGATTTTTGGTGGCCAACCACCCGCGTCAATTATCCAAACGAAACCCGAACAAGTAATCGAATTCATCCGTGCTACGGCGAGCAAGCCCCCCAATCATTTACGGGGACCACACACACACACACACACACACACACACACACACACACACACACACACAATCTTCGAAACTGATTTTTTTTTTAATTTAAAAAGTTTCAAGTACCCCTGAAACTAGATTAAACATCACATGCACTTGCAATTACAAGGAAAGCTGATTACAACACAAGCAAAATCCGTGATGTTGTAACTAAACCGACAATACTTGAGTAGACAAACGAAAACCCGACAATTCAATTTTTACTAACGATTCGAAAGCACGACATTTCGATTTTTGAAAAAAATTCTATTGCATACAAAAGGTCCAGCCGAAATTCGAAACCCCGACCATAGGGTGCAAAGGCGACGGCGTTACCTCAAGGCCACAAGGGAACGAACCTGCACGTTGTTAGGCTTGAAATAAAGCGAGTAAGAAATGCAAGTAATAAAAAAGTGAGAAATGCAGGTAAGATTTAGAAGAAAAGTTATTTAAGGTAAAAAGTCTAGTTCCCAATTACAAACACTTGGTCTCGCAATTGTAATAATTGAAAATTAACTACCTTCAGAAAATTGCAAAACAGACCAACAGACGGTTCAAAAGTTCTCTCTGAACTCAATGAAATCAAAACTCTTGCACACTTCAGAAACATTTTGTCACTCTAATCAAAACTAAACCAATTCAAAAAATTTTATCAAACTATATTTAATATTCCACCGAGATTACTTAAAATTAAACCAGTTTTTGCACTTCAAAAATCCACTAAATTTCTCGCCATTTTTAGAAGATTAACCCTCAAGAGTAATAGACATTCATTCCAGAAAACTATTCACAATTCATGAAAGAGGATAGACCAAGAATATTTAAGTTTCAAATGGCTGCCCTGTAATCCAATTAAGTTCAAAATACTTCATGAAAAAAAACTGGAATTAAAATTTACGCACATTTCAAACTCAAAATCAATTATGCTTAGATTCCCTTTGATTACTTAGAGGATTGATTGTAATACAAAATGTTACAAAGTTACTCTAAGAAAAGTTTTATTTTAGTCAGAAATTTTAATCAGGAACTAGTTAACTTAAATTTCTTCAACTGGTTAACTAAAGGTGTTGTGTGCATATAACCTCCGAAGCACCGTTGGAAACGGATGAAGAGTTTTTGACTGAGGACAACTGAGTCCATGCAGCAGTAACGAGTGAAAAACCGTCAGGAGGGATTCAGTTTGCGGAGAGCGTTAAGCGGGCTATAGGCACATGACGCAGTTAGTGGAGACCGTAAAGCAAAGTAAATACGTTATTTGGTCTTTGCTTTCAAATAAAATTTTACACAGAGGCCAAGCTGCGCTTCACAAATACTTGCTAGAACACGACCTTATATCAGCACTATCAAGTGAAATAAGCAGTAGAAATAAGCATCGAATTAGCAAAAACTCGGCTACGTGTCGGATTCGAATTAGCAAAAAAAACTCTGCTACGTGTCGGATTCGAATTAGCAAAAACTCGGCTACGTTTCGGATTCGACCTAGCAAATATGAGTCTCACACACTAACCACGCATGCTTAAAATCCTCAAAATAACGCAGCTACATATGCTACTAAATTGCCAATTCGATGCAGCAAAAGTAGCAGCACACACAAAAAAATTTGCATGTAATAAATTGAAAAGCATAAAACCAAATTATGAATAAATTATGCATTTCAAAAAAATTGCGAAATACATTGAGTTGAAAAATTTCTGAAATCGAGCTTTTCATCTTTGTACTGCTGTTTGAAATGAACAACAGTTTTTTTCAGTTCATTTGATGAATTAAAAATTCATCAGCTGTTAGCTTTTAACTAATCAAATGTCAAAGCACATATGATATTATACTGCTACCCCAGCCTACCGATTCGAATGTGCCACTAAAAGTAGAACTTCTATTCGCGACTTAGGTTGGAAAAAGGAAAGTTCGGAGTTATACGCTTTGCTTCGCAAGTGTAAAAAGGATGCGAAAAATTCCGAACAAAAAAAAACTTTTTAAAAACATGACAGAAATAAGTGAGCAAACATTTCATAAGAGTGGCTTCATAAATAATTCATAAAAGTGGCTTTTAAAATACAATTTACTTCATTTGTTTCTTAATTGCTGAGCGCAAATTGTTTTCAGAATAAAAATATAGTATAGCCACGAGACGGTTGGGTTAAGGTTTGATATAGCCAAGAAACAGCTGCAAAGATGCTAATGCAATCTTAGAAATCGACAAAAAATGGCATGTTTTTTTTCGTTTTCAAGTGACTTTATGATGCAAGCCACATGAACTTAGTCAGCAGAAAGTTTTTGTTCTTAATTTCTTAAGCATTTTCGCAAAATACAATACTTTAAAGATATTTGAATTCAAGAATCTTGCATCATTTGTATTTTTTAAATTAAACTGACCAAGCAAGTAGAGAAAAAAAACTGGATCAATGGGTTCTTTTTTTAACCCGCTGGAAAATTTTGCACTATTTGCAATTTTTTCATCAAAAAGCTGCTTTTGATCTCAAATTAGAAATCGAATATGAGAAGCTAGCTCCAAAAGACAAACCGCGAAGAGCAAAAAAATGAGCGAACAAATCCACTTTCCGTGAAAAAAAAACAACCTACATAAGTGAACATTTTGTTCAGGCGTCATTAACTCTCCTAAACTGGCAAAAATATCAGTTCTTACATCTATCTGGTTCTGAAGTTGGAACATGCGTGTCTCATGTCCAGTCATCTCTCCTCTAAGTGCAGTGACAGATCTCTCCAGGTCGTTTCTCTGGGTCTCGTGTTGGCTCTTCACTGCATCATACTTTGACTTCAGGTCTGAATGAGCCGTCTTCAGCTCCTGAACAGCCAAACTAGACATTAAGAGATAACTACCTCGAAGTTACATTCAAATTTAAAACAGCTGCATCTTTTCTGTAATACGGAGAAAACTGATGTTTCGAGCTTTGGATCATAATGCTTTAATTTGATTCACTGAATTTCATCAAAACCGGAGCAAAAGCTATCGCGAGAATTTTTCTTGTTTTGAGCCTTATAAGAGAAAAACAACACAAGTATCCTCCAATTCTTATAGCACCGATTTGAATTAGTTAAGTGCCATAGCCATTATTCAAAAACCAAAACAGTCAATTGTAACAACTAGTTCACGAATATCAAACAACAAATTCTGCTCATAATCTTTCGATGTGTGAAGAAATACAGCTTAGCATACAATGATTTCTCTCTGTCTCCTTGCTCTACTCACCCTGACTTCAGTCCTGAGCTGTTTGACCTGCTTGAGCGGCTGCTCTATCTCCGACCTCTTCTCCTGTATCTTCTCCCTCAGATCCTCCACCACATTCGAGTAGTCCATCAGGGTCTGGCCCTTCCTCTCATCTATCTCACTCTTCAGAGTGGACACCTTCTCCAGCTGGCCCTGGGTGGCAGAGAAGCCACTCACACCCTGTCGCTGTTCCTCCTCTTGCTACATTCCAACAAACAAATCCTGATTTTGACCGGTAATAACATTTCAGTTTTCAAGCCACTCACTCACCAACATAGATTGTTATATAAACTGTAAGTTCAAGTAATAGTTCAGATTGGGAGAATAACAAATGATCCGGTCTGCCGCCTGGAATTTTTGTTCCGATCAATTCGAGCAAATAATGCGAGCGAACAGGCTTACAATAGCATTTTTGCTTAATGTAGACCGTGAAAACGTAGTTTTACTCAAGTAAAATTGTTTTAGCGCCATTTGGAAATTAAGAACTTCAAAAATCCAAAAAAATTTATTTACTTTTTTGATATATATTTTTTTCTGAGTCATTTTTCTACAAATTTGTCTATTTTACTATGACTGTCGAATATTCCTAAATTCCAGTTTTTCGTTCAGATCCATTTATCACACCACGCAGAAAAAAAAACGACACTAACTTGAAGAAAAAAAACTTTTTGTTTTTTTTAGACTGTGGTCTGGACATTCTGTGCTACTTCTGTCTGGACAGATCAACAAAATTCAATCTAAGCTTGAGCTTCCAAAGCGATTCCAGTTAACCTTAACCGGATCAGAATTAACTATATCTTTATTTTTGCGCAGGACTTTCTAATTCGCTAATAAATTATAATGAAAAGATGTAATCCAATTTCGGTTTTGGATTTAAGTCACAACTTATGTTATGTCGAGCTAGAACAGTGTTGTTCATTCGGGATTCAAATATTTTGGAATGTTCAATTTGCTTTTTCTTTCAACTTAACATGTACATCATACACTTACTCATTAATTAAACTTTGCCCACTGGGATAAAACAACCATGAAGAATGTATTGACTGACCAATTGAGTATTGAGGGCGTTGAGTTCGTTCTGCAGTAGTATCTTGGTCCTGTCTATGTCCACCCTGTGAGCCCTGAGAGCATCGTACTCTTTAGTGAGTCTCTTGTGCTGTTCCAAACTCCGCTTGATTTCCTCTTTCAAATCGTCTTTGAACTTCATAGTATCTTGCTAAACACAAACAATCTTTTAAATTCAGGTAACTCTTTGAGCAATGGACAAGTACCAGTCAGAAAAGAGCGTGTAGTTTTATAAATAGTCATAACGAAAAAATAGTTTAGAATTTCTTCAAAATACCCTTGGTTTTGCATGAGCTGGACTGAAGAATTAAAAAAGTGAATAAATAACACATGAAAACAAAAAAACGACAAGAGCAGCCGGCCGCTCTGCTAGTAGCACAGAAGGCCTCGACTGAAGATCTCATTACAAAATTATATTTAAGAATTTCCATTATTTAGAACAATTATTCAAAATTGTTTTTCAAATCCAATATGGGTGCAGATGATTAACCCAGATAATTTTGAAAAAAAAAGTTTTTTTAGCATATTAACTAGCTAATGCCTTGAAATAATTGAAAGTAAAAACAAGGGAAATTATACGCCTAATTTAGAGTCTGAATAGCATAACATTAATTCCGGTTTTTCTCGACACTGAGCCAACACACAGTTGGAAAACACATAGCCATCACACAATTGGAAAAGAGAAATCTGAAAACTAAAATCCACTTTCGCAACAAAAGTCGACCACGTTTTTCGTTATCTTAAATTTTTGCTGTTCGATAGTAGAATTTGCGATCCTTTTCACAAAAAAATGAACTAAACTTAAAAGGAAATCAAAAGAAAACCCGCGAAAAACTAAATTTCAGCGTGTACAAATTTCAATACATTTTACTGAAAAAAAACATAGCCAACAGACATTTGGAAAGAAGTCAATGAGTAAAAGTGAACAGAAGAAAAACAACTTTCGCAATTCAAAGAAAAACAGATACCCACGAAGCTCTATGAAATTTTAGAATAATGTATGCTTGGCTCTGTGTTGAAAAAATTAACCCAATTTGAGAAAACTAGACCAAAAGGAAAAAAATTTTATTCCGCTGGGAAATCTGAAAGTTAAATTCCACTTTCTAAATTAGAAGTCGATCACGTTTTTGCGACCTTTATATTTTTGCTGTTCGATAGTTGAGTTTGCCTTTCCTTTAACAAAGAAATGAAGTGAACTGAAAAAGTAATCAAAAGTCAAACCGAGATGCATCTCAAACATAGCATGGCAAGCTAGACGACAGAAAAAGAAGACGAGCACCACTCCGTCAGCCGAAAAAAAAACTTAAATTTTCTAGTTTGTCTCAAATGAAGTTCAATTCGGGGAAAAATTTCAAAAAAGACGGTTTGGCAGAGCTAATGTAGCATCAACTAAAAATTTAGGAAGAGGTAAGTAAGCCGACAATACTTGAACAAGCACCAATTGAGCATACTAACAAGCAACAAACAGCATAATATACAAATTTCGAATGGAGGTAGGTAGAGTTGACAAAAGGCTTCTCAAAGGCGTGATTAAGTCATTATGTTAGACTTATTGATAACCTGAAAGTCTGTTCCAATTTGGTAATCGCAAGAGAAAAATCAAACAGCGAAACCATTTTAAAGCAGAGCTTCGCACCACTTGCGATGCAACAAAATCATTTAAAAAATAAATAAAAAAAAATTGAATGTTGACAAAACTGGGTGAACCAAAATGAAGGACTCCTAGGGCCTAGTTAAAGCTGGAGGCAAGTGTCTGATTTTTTTGAACGTAGTTACAGTGATGCGGGACGAAATGCGTAAGTTGAAAAGTAAACTTTGCCCAAAACTTTCTCTAGAAAAATAAGTAAGAGTGACAATTTTTGAGATTTTGGAAATTTCCAACAGACAAAACAAGTCTCAACCTAGGGGATCGATTAAACCTATGATATCAGATTTGACAAGATAGTTATCGAGACAATCCCAAAAAACGGTCAACAAATTATAAAGTTGACATTTCCCAAAAATCATAGCTTTTTGTTTTGAAAACGATGGGCCAAGCCGCATATGCAGAAGATATTCGAAAAAACTGTCAAAAAAATCTAAAATTTCACTATTCCGAGGGCCATCATTTTATGAGCCAAAAAAAAGTTTGGGAGCAGACGCTAATCGAGGGGAGCTTTCAAATCTCTTCAATTCATTCAAACCAAAATCTCAGACTTGCTTGATTAGTTTTTGAGAAAACGAACAAAACAAAATATCGGTCAAATATTTCCCACACCTTTTCGAAGGCTTTAGACGAAGGGGTCAAGCAAAAAGAGACCAGGTGAGTAAGCAGACACACAAGAGTGTAGGCGCTCATTCTATGGACACCGATTTTTTGAAAATCGGTAGAAGGGTTTTTGAAACTAAACTTTTTGCAAAAGGTGATAAAATTTTCCAAAGCGTTTCCAAAAAAAATAAAATAAAAAACCCAATCCCAAACATTTTCATGAAACCTGTTTTTATCAAACAGAACTTCTAGGCAAACATGCCAAGCAATAAATTCGAAATTCAAATAAGCAACTGAATAACACTTCTTTAAGCAACCATTTGGTCACCCTATGAACAGCAAGTGAGAGCAGTGAACATACGGAGTAGAGGTGTTCCAGTTCTTTGATCTGCTCTTCGAAATGTGAGTTGGCCTGCAGTAGTTCACTGTTCCGCTCCTCTTCCCCCCTCACCTCCTCTTCCACACTCTGCAGCTGCCTCTCCATGTTGCCAATCTATACCACAAAAACAACAACACACAAGATAGAAACCAATTATCACACAAATACGTAATGTCTTATAACAACAATGCTCCATACACCGATGATCATGAAACCACTAAACGCAGACACATCGTTATTTAATCTGGAGTCAAACTTCACAGGAAAGAGATTCAAAAACCGATTAAAACTTCCAAAAGCAGCTTCAACGGTGAAAATACCATTTGGAAAGTTCATTGCGTCAGTGACCACACTTCATTTTTAGTTGCAAACGCGAAATTACAAAAGCGTAACATTTGACATACTTGTTTCTGAATGACGTTCCGTGCCTTGAGAGACTCTGGGTCCGACTCTAGATCCAGGGCAGTTTGCGTTAAATTGCGAATTTCAGATTGCAGCAGCTCGGCCTGTAACAAAAAAAATAAGTTGATATAAATTGCGCAGCAAACATATCTATAGCATAGACTAGGAACTAAACGCCAATATCGCCACAAGAGCAAACCAGCAAAAAAAATTACACTTCAAAATCTTCTTGTCCAACTTTCTAGTATGGCGTTAGCGAGTCGAGACTTGATTATTTTTTGAGTTTTGAGAAATACAGGACGAAATCTGCATTGTCGGTATCAAAGATGACAACACTCGATAGGCAGCTAACTGGCCTCTTTAATTGTTCAACCACGATATGATTTTTTTTACAGAGGCAAAGCTGAGTTTCGCGCCACTTGCGACATAAGAAGTATATTAAAACAGTATATGATTAAGACACTAAAGAACTATCAAAGAGGGTTCGAACGTTGCTACTGTCGAAGAAACAATTAGAAAAACAAAAATAATAATAAAAATCAAGTTTTTTCAGGTTTAAATTTATTTGAAAATTTGTAAGAGTTACAAGAGGGGTTGAATTTGAGCATTCGAAAACTTACATTTGGAGCCAAAGTCTTAAAGATCTCAGATAACAGATAAAAGATCTCAGATAACAGATGAATAATATCAAAAAATTGTAGGAAACAAAATATTAGGTGAACAAGCCGACAGAATTAAAGCCGACAGCCAATCAGCTGAAAATAAACCATAACTGTTCTGCAAAAAATTGATGTACTGCCCAAATAGTATCCACAAAAGCTATATAGGTACTGAATGCAAGGTGATCTAAATAATTCGGAAAATTACCACGGAGAGCTTAATCGAAGCAAAAAAGTAATACCGACATTGTATAACTATACATACAACTAGATCTATCAGAATGAATGAAGATAGTTAGCATCGGAACCAAACTTACCAAGCGGTAACAAAACAGAAAATACCTCAGTAGAAACCCTTCATACCAAAAAAACTCAAAAAAAATTGGAGTCCTGTTCCTCTCAGAACAAACACGACACAAAACTTTAAAAATTACAACCAATGTAAAAAACAAATTTCAATTCCACACGATGTTTCAAAGCTAAAACACAAAACAATTACAGTGAAAATAGTTTACACAAACAATAAACGATTCTTAGATGTCACAACTAAGCCGAAAAAACGTAAGCAGACATAATAGGCCGAAATTTTTTTGAACCGGAATATTTACCGTTTGAAAAAAAACAGGACCTGGTCAGATAGTTTCGAACCCAGGACATTTGTCTTCCCAAGCGTATTCGTTACCTCCAAGCTAATTGTGCAGGAGACAAAAAACAGCCAATCGAAGATTGGAAAAGAGCAATGAACGCAAGTAAACAAAAAAACACTGACTTTGTTGAAAAAGTCTCAACTTTCGAATTTCGAAGAAAAAAATATATGCCATTTAAGCTCTTTGAATTTCTAGAACGATTTATGATTAACTCAACTCGAGAAAACTGGATCAACAGGTAATATTTTTATTCCGCTGGAAATCTAAAAACTAAATTCCAAACTAGAAATCGTTCACGAGTTTTTTGCGCCGTTTGCACGTTCGTATTTGAAGAAAGCTAATTACGTCGTTTTCAGCAGATTAATTTCAATAAACTCAAAAAGTGCAATATACCTAAGTGCATCAATATTTTAAGACTTTTTCCTGAAAAAAAAAACAAAAATCAGCAAGACCTATATAAGAGTCTTCACTACGTTCATTACTCTTAAAAACTTGAATTCATTTTGAACTAAGGTACCACCAGGAGTCCAGATCGGCCCTGTTAACAAATTTAGTTACGGGAAAAAAGTTTAGTACCCGGTTGCAATACCCTTGGTCATCGCAAAGGTAATAATTAATTTATTTTGAAACACATTGAATTTGTAGCACATATTAGGATGGACACTTTTTTGTTAAAATTAAACCAATTTGAGAAATCTGGATCAATAGGTATAACTTTTATTTCGCTGGGAAATTCGATAATTAATTTCCATTTTCAAAATTAGAAGTCGATAAAGTTTTTCGTGACCTTTACAATTTTGCTGTTCGATAGTGGAGTTTGCCTTCCTTTTAATAATTGAAATTCACTGAACTTAACAAGAAATCACAAGTCAAACCGCGAAAAAAAATTAAGCGTTAACAAATTTTTAGTTTTTTCCTGAAAAAAAAAAACAAAAAAAAATCAGCAAGACCTATATAAGAGTCTTCACTACGTTCGTTACTCTTAATAATGGGCAATTTTTTCCCTTCTTTGAAAAGAGTTTATTATTTTTATTACGACAAAGTAATCCAAAATGGGTGGTTCTCACCAGAGCAGTGAGTCCACTGGTGTCTTCGATGGGGCCCGCATCTTGCAACATGCCAGAGGGTATCTTCCACATATTGATCACGCGCATCCACTCTACCGGCTGTCTCTCTGCCGTCTCTAATACACTTAACTTTTGCTCCAGTGCAGTCTCTTCCCTATCTAGCTCTGCCTTGACCTTGAATGAAAACAATCAAAATGTAATCATGAAAGTTCTGACCAAGTTAATCAGAAAAACTGAAAGAACTCGAAGTCGCTTTTGCGCGTAGTGAGTAGTCGAGTAGTGTGATGAAAGAAAAGCTTATAACATAAAAAATAAATCATAATCGGTTACTTTTACCGAAAATTTCAGATAACAGAAATTAAACTGCAGAAATTAAACTGCAAAAATTTCAAATCGGTTTTTAGAGACAATGAGCAAACTTAAATACAAATTAGTTTAGCCAAATCCGTTTAGCCCGTCGAATAACGCCTCGAGAGCAAAGATTAAAAAAACAGTTTTGCATGCTCTAATCAGCTAATCACACAAATGAGCCCCTATTAAATTATCACCGAAAAAATGCAGCACTCAGTCACCAATAATTGTAACTAAAAACACATGTTTTCTCTTGTTTTTATGAAATCAAGCAAGAAAATCCTTCTTCACCGCCCTTTTCTAAACACTTTCAATTAAAGAACGTGAGAAAAAAATATCACATGTCAAAATAATTCCAAAAAGTCTATGTCAATAGGATGAATAGCGTGTTCTTTTCTTATTATTACTTTTGTTAACGTCTTCATCAACTCGTATATGTGTAGTTCATTAGAAATAAATAATTTGTGTTTATTTTTCACGATTCGTATTGATCGTTTTTTTAAAAGTGAAATAGAATTCTTTACAATCAAATCTGAGGTGTCAATTTTCAAATGAGTTTTATTTGCCAGATCAAAATTTTTGGCTTGACCACTTATAATGCTGAATTTTACCTGGGAGCGATGACAATCTTTTCATTACATGATTATCATGTTTGGTTGTAAGATTGCTGTCTAATGTGAACCCAAGATATTTCATTTCGCTTTCGATCTCCAATACTTTTTCATTTAATTTTATTTTCAATTCAATTTTGGCTGGAATCGGAGTACTTAACTTTTATATTCATTTACTGTAAGCTTACTGTCTTCCGTCGATACAAAAATGCGCTCTAAATCATCGGACATTGATTTACCCCATCATTAATAGTGCCAAATAATGTTGTGCTATCTACAAAAAAGGTTAAATTATAGTTGGTTCATATTTCAGGAATATCGTTGTTAAAAAAATTTGGAAAAGAGTATTAAACGCAAGGAAACTGAAAAAAAACTGACTTGTTTCTTGAAAAATCTTTTTAAAAACTTTTGAATTTCAAAGAAAACAAATATAACCTTCTCTTTGAATTTGTAGAACAATTTATGATTGACACTTCATTTGTTAGAATTAACCCAATTTGAGAAAACCGGATCAATACTTTTATTTCGCTGGGGAAACTTAAATTTCCATTTTCGAAATCAACGTGGATCACGTTTTTGGTGACATTTACACTTTTGCTATTCGATAGTGGAGTTTGCCTTTCTTTGAACAAAAGAAATGAAGTGAACTAAAAAAATTAATCAAAAGTCAAATTCATTTCTTTTTTACACTCAACATGTGTTTTTAAAAAATGTCCAAATTTCAGCTATTCCCAAAATTAATGATTTATATAACTCAATTAAAATCAGTTTTTCCTCAAAATGCTGATATTCATGACTATTTATGAATTAATATTCGTCTTATTTTGATATATATACCTACTCTCCAGTTTTTCACCTTACTGAAAACAATAATGTTATGATATCGTTTAATTTTGAGCGCATTTTCGTTTGTATTTTCATTTTTTAAAGATTTTTAAAGTCGATCGATTCAGGATTTAACATGATATACCATTCGAACTAGTCCAATAATTTTTTGGCACCTGATTTTACCTGGAAAACACTACTTATCACCTGAAGACAAAGTTCTTCCATCTTTCAGTGGCCGGAACAAAAACTTGAACTTAACAAGCGTGAAATCTTTATGGTGATCGTTCACAAATGCGCGCCGCGATTACCATCAGGACTCAACCAAACACATTATTGAGTAGCGCTGTCCCACCAGAACATTTACAAATACTTCAACTGGATAATACTTCAAGAAAATAAAACGAAAAACTTCAATGGTGATGAAAACAATACGAAAACTTGAATAAAAATTTGAAACAAGAAAAGGCTTTCTAAACGAAAACCTATCATAAAATCAATCCTAAAGATGGGCGGGTATTAAGACAAAATCATGTGGTGGCAACAAGTCGGAAAAATCTCAGTAACTGTCAGAAATACTTTTTTGGCTCGTTTCTGATGGGTTGAAAACTAATATATATCTATTTACTTTAATTTGATTGATGTTTTGATATATTTGATACTTCAATTTGATGTTTTGTACTTCTAAAAGGCCATACATTAAACATTCTATCCAGTATTGGTGATTTTTCCTAACTGAACTTGAATTGATCTTTCTTATTCAGTTCAAACTGAAAGATCACTTCCCGATTTTTGTTAAAATTAGCTGGTGAAACATGACCTTTAGTCATTGGTTCGAGCAACTTTGAGCCGGTGATTTACCATATATATTTGATCTGATTTGCTACTAGGAATTATCACTCAAATCTCATTAATTCACTCCTTATTAATTAACCGTTTGTCGCTGCAATAACCTTGATAGGTTATGGGCCCAGATGCACAATCACGAGTGAGAAGTCAGGAGTCAAGATTGACTATTCGTTCAAACGAATAAGGAAAAAAGCAGCTGAGATTTGCAGTGGAGTTGTGACAGTGGAAATCACAACTTGAAATATACAACTGATCAGTTAGAGAACTGCGAGAATAGAAGCAGGCCAAAACAACTTGGAGAAAGACGACTGATCAGACAGAGAAGTGCAAAGATAGAAGAAGGGCAACTTAACTAGTAAAGACAGGCAACTTTGACGACAGAAGCAGGGCAACACAACTTCTAGAGATAGACAACTCTGACGATAGAAGCAGGGAAACACAACAGAGAAGAAGAAAAGACGGTCAAAAGCTACACGAAGGGGCATTGAGTGAGCACAGCAGTGAAAGAAGCACTACACTGTTGATAGTGAAAGAAAACTGAACCAAACTGATAAATTACATGTTTTATTTGTAAAAGTTGCTGATTTATACTCAATTTTTGCGGAAGGATAAATTCGTTCGTACGCGGTTGCTCGAATCCGACACAAAATCAATCCAAAGAATACATTGCAATTAAAAGAAAAAGAAACTGATACCCCAGAATAAAAAGACGAACTTCTATTTTGCTAATATATATATTACCTAGTATGAAATCTGAGGAGGGACCTTAGCTTTGCTAAGTTGCTGATGTGTTAATCAGTACGCACTCCGTTAGGTTCCAAATCAGATTTAGGTAATCAAATATACTTGCATAGTTATATAAGCGGGCGATATTGATGTTTGTAGAATATGATTTTGATGTAAGAGAAAACGGGGTCATTGAACTTTACCTAGGGCAATACTTAATTTTTTGAGTTTTGTATTGGAACTTAACTTTTGTGTGAAAGTCGAAAATAAGAACTTGGATTAGGAAAGAAATGTCGAACACTGATAGGATAGTTTTTTCGGGAAAAGAAGAAGATTTTTCCAACTTTGAAGAGCAATTCGAGGCACGAATTTTTCACTTGAAGTTAAACAAGATTTTAGATGAGACAGTTGATTATAGAAATTTTATGCCAAGATTAAGAACGAATGCAAGCAGTGATCAAAAACAAGCTGCGATAGATAAAAGAAAAGAGATTTTTTAAGAAAAACAGTAGCATATCTGGTACGAACTTGTGCAGGCTCTAGATAAGAAATCAGTTTTGTTTTTAAGACCTTATAAAGGCAATGGTAGCAAAGCTTGGGATGTTTTACGGAAAAGGTTTAAGAGTTTTGAAAGACCCAGGCTGCAAAACCTAATCTCCGATTTTACAACTTTGAAAAAGAATAGCAATGAAACAGTGATAGATTATTTGAAGAGCAGAGGGGTTCAGTATTACTTAGAACAAGTGAACGAAGGAGTGAGTGAAAAAAATGTTAATTTCAATTCTTTTGAAAGGACTTCCAAAACAATTTGAAACTTTTTCTACTATAGCTAAGTTTAGTAGAGATGAGAAAAATTTAGATGAGTTGAAAATAGATTTTGTGAAATTTGATAGCGAGAGACAAGTAATCGAAAAAGAGCATGCTTTTAATAGCGAGAACAGAGTTTGTTTCAAGTGTCATAAAAGAGGACATGTGTCGAAACAGTGCAGAGAAAACTTAAGCAGCAGACGAGATAGTGAAGATAGAGCTCGAAAAATTCAGTGCTATGAGTGCAAGGAGTTTGGACATATTGCAAAATAGTGCCAAGCAAAGAAAGAGTTCATTAGTAAGACTAAACGAGAACAGCAGAACCTAGTAGCTGAAACAGAGGCTCATTTTAGTTTCCTGAGTGGAGTGTCTCCGGGCGAGGACTTAGTTGTAGACTCTGGAGCTACCAGTAACATGATTAAGGATCGAGACATGTTTGTTAGTTTAGATGAGAACTTCAAAGGATCGGTTAGCAATGCAAATTTCTCTGAATCAAAAATTTTAGGCAAAGGTGAAGTTAGATTCAGAGTGAAAGATGAGAAAGGCGAGTTTAAGAAGATTGAGCTCAAGGACACTTTGTACGTTCCTGAAAACTCACGAAATTTGCTGAGTGTATCAAAAATGAAGAAAGCAGGAGCATAAGTTGTTTTTGGTGCGAGCTCGTTTGTTCGCCAGGAAATGGATCAGTTTATCCATTAAGAGAGGAAAGTGGTCTCTTTTTATGGGACACTTTTGTAGGAAAAGACGAGTGTTATGTAGTAAGCACATTGAAACAGTGGCATTGCAGGATGGGTCATAATAACTACAAAGATTTAAGACATTTGGAGCAACATGTTGAAGGCATGAAGATTAGCGATTTTAAAATTGAGAATTGTGAAACTTGTGAGTTGATTAAACCAAAAAAGAAGCCAGTCCCGAAAGATTCTTATACCAGGACAACCAGGACACTAGATATTGTTCACACAGATATTCTAGGTCCTATCGATCCGATAGCAGAGGATGGACATAGATATGCTATAGGTTTTCTGGACAGTTTTTCTAGATATCTGAAAAATTATTTCATGAAGACGAGAGATGAGGCAACAGAAAAATTGGAAAGGTTCATAGCAGACATAGGAGTCTCTCAGACTTTAGTTTCAGACGGCGCAGGAGAGTTCATTGGTCAGGATTTTAGGCGAGTTTGTAGGAAACAAAAAATAAGACTGGAAACATCGGCTCCTTATACCCTCAAGAGAACGGAAAGATAGAAAGGGTGTGGGGAACAATTACTCCAATGGCTCGCTGCATAATTTTTGATGCGAATTTATCGAAAACTTATTGGCTTTATGCTCTTAATATGGCTACTAATCTCAAAAACATGTGCTTTCATTCTGCTATAGGCAAAACACCCTACGAGTCAAATTATGGAGAAAAACCCAAGCTTAATTTTGGGAAAACTTTTGGGTGTGTAGCATATAGTTTTGTGGAAAAACAGTTTCGCAAAAAACTAGACAAAAACTCTAGAAGGGGAATTTTTCTGGGGACATCGGAAAAATAGTAAAGTTTATCTGATACGAATTAAGAGTGAAGGAAAACTCGAAGTGCAAAAGTCTAGAAACGTTAGTTTTGACGAATCTAAGTTCTACTTTGAGAAAAGATAGAAAGTGACGAAGGAGAAAGAGTAGGTGATGTAGTATTTTTTGGAGAAGTTCTCGAAAATATACCGAAAAGTGCTAAGGAAGCTTTAGCAGACCCTGACTGGCAAGAAGCAATGAAAAAAGAGTTTGATTCATTAGAAAAAAATAAAGTTTGGGAACTAGTTTGAAAAAGAGGAGAGAAGCCTATAGGCTGCAGATGGCATTTTCCTTTGAAGTACGGACCTAATGGTGAAATTTCCAGGTTTAAGGCTAGGTTTGTTACTAAAGGTTTTAGCCAAGTTGAGGTAAGGGATTTTCACGAAACGTATTCGCCTACAGCCAAGATGTCGACCATAAGACTAGTCCTGAGCTTAGCAGTCCAAAATAGGTATCAGTTGAGACAGTTAGACATTAAAACTGCATACTTGAATGCCAAACTAGATAAAGAAATTCTTATGAAGCAACCTGAAGGGTTCGAGAAGTTTGATGAAGAAGGAAAACCTTTAGTTTGTCTTCTGAAGAAAATTCTTTATGGACTGAAGCAGTCCGGTAGAAACTGGCATAGGACTCTAAAAAGCTATCTTGAGGAATTAGGTTTTGAAAATTCAATTTTTGATGGGTGCTTGTTTGTTAGGAGGATTGAGGGAGAGATAGAAGGTTTAATTTGCTTGTGGGTCGATGATATAGTGGTTTGTGGAGCAGACAAAAATTTCTGTAGCTGATTTGAAAACAATGTCTCTGAAAAATTTGAGATAAGCGAGATAAGTGATCTTAAATGGTTCTTAGGAATGAAAATTGATTACTCAGGAAACGAAATTAGGATAAGCCAGGAGAAATATGTTGAAAAATTGATATCAAGATTTAGGATGACCGAAGCAAAGCCGATAACGACCCCTATTGGTGAAAACGAAAAGCTGACAAAAGAAGATTGTCCTTTAGAATGTAGCATAGAGCAAGAAAATATGAAAAAATGTGACTATCGAGGACTTGTTGGTTGTCTAAATTACCTAGCTTTATCAAGTAGACCCGACATTTGCTTTGCAGCAAATCTTCTAAGTTCTTTTGTGGAAAACCCAGGTGAAAAGCATTGGAAAGCCGGAAAAAATTGTCTTAGATATCTGCTAGGAACAAAAAGTTTACCTGTAGTATACAGGAGGGATAAGGCCTTGAATCTTGTTAGCTATTCGGATGCGGACTGGGCTGGAAATATAGACAATAGGAGAAGTACCTCAGGATATTGTTTTAAACTCAGTGACAACTCAGGTGTAATAAGTTGGTCTAGCAGACTTCAGCGTTGTGTATCAACTTCAACAGCCAAAGCAGAACACAATGCTGTGGTCGAAACAGTAAAGGGAGGAATTCATTTACAGGGCATACTTAGCGACTTAGGCATAATTTGTAATAGGCTTTTAAAAGTTTTCGTTGATAACCAAGCTTGTATTGCCCTTAGTAAACACTCAGTGAATCACGGCAAGACGAAGCATTTTGCGATAAAACTACACTTCCTTCGAGAGTTAGTTGAACAGAAGAAGGTGACATTAACCTTTTTACCAACAGCAAACATGCCTGCAGACGCATTGACAAAAAACTTGGGAAAGTGCAAAACTGCATTTTTCCGAGACCTTCTACTAGGAACCACCTAATTTGAAAGGCGGGGTATTGGTGATTTTTCCTAACTGAACTGGAATTGATCTTTCTTATTCAGTTCAAACTGAAAGATCACTTCCCGATTTTAGTTAAAATTAGCTGGTGAAACATGACCTTTGGTCATTGGTTCGAGCAACTTTGTGCGGGTGATTTACTGATTTGCTACTGGAATTATCACTCTGATTTGCTACTGGAATTATCACTCAAATCTCATTAATTCACTCCTTATTAATCAACCATTTGTCGCTGCAATAACCTTGATATCCAGAAATATAGACCACAGCGTCACCAAATCAGCGAAGGCAATGAAGACGAGCTTACCTCGCTCTTCCGTCGGTACTCTGCCAATATGTTCATCATCAGGTCTTGCGGATCCGGAGCCTCCGATCTCTGCAGTTGCTCCAGGTGTTTCATCTCGTACTCATGACGCACTTCTCCCACGTCAAACTACGAAACAAAAACTCACGTGATATTGCACCTCTGAGATTTCTAACTCATCACTACCCAGAGCGCCTCTTTGTTTGAACTTATTTACTATATATACTCTTGGCTAACCAATCCAAAAAATATTCTTTAGGTGCCAAATTTTGAGGGGTTGATATCAACCAATTGTGGAAACTATTTTTAGACTCGAAAACTTTTGATGCGAAGAGACTATGATTAATCATATGCAGATGCCACATTCAATTTGGGCCAAATTTGCGATTAGCAAGAGTTGATGTGACTCACCTGATGTTTTCTGGTCTCGTACTCTCTCTGCAGTGCCTCGCTCTCCTCCTTCAGCTGTTGGATTTGAACCACTTGGGAGAAATACTTGCTGCTCTCGGGGTCACTCACCAGTTTGCTCTTGTTTGAGGACACCTTCTGCTGCAGATTCTCTATCTCCGCCTTCATCTTCTCGTAATCCTGAAGAAACTTTCAAAAATTAAAAACCAAAACTGTAGTTTAGCAAAAAACATGTTGCATACTTCATCCCTGAACGTTGGGAAACAAACTTCAGTTTCCCATTAACCGATAATATTAAAATTTTTAGTTTTCACATGTTTGGCCAAATCGCATATTTGTGACTTGAAAAATCGCACCTTTGTGATAGAAAAAACTTTCAAAAACTGTTTCGATTGAATGTGAATGATTTGATAAAATATATACAAAGTAAAAGCGTCTGAAAGTTACTCACCGTTCGCACTTCCTCAAGGTCTTTGTCTCCTTTCTGTTTCACTGCATTTTTGTAGTCGGTGTGCGACTGCTTAAAAATCTGCTGCAGAGTCCGGTACTAAACAAAATCGAACCATATTCAACCCTCAGATCTTAAAAAAAGAAGAAGTTTTCGGCTGATTTGTTTGCATCCATATTCTAATGTATCAACATCGGCAGCGAAAATTTACAGTTTCATCAAAAATCATCTCTGAGTTCAAATTTGATCAAATGTCTCACATTTTCCCATGCATTTGCCACATCTTCATCTGCTAAGTATTGAGGTTCAGGCGGAGGGTAGGCTAGGAATTTGGACAGAAGAGCCCTTTCAGCTAAGTATTCATATCTTTCAAGCAGGTAGTCCAACAAAACTAACAGAATCTCTCGGTTCTCCTCACGAGTTAAACAGTCGTGTATAGTCGACAGACTAAAATGGCATTATTGAAAAGATAAAAGACAACTTTTTTCACATGTGATAAGATAAATGAAGAGGATATCATTCAATGCAAGTATTAGAAACTAACGCAGGCTGGAAGCTGCTGTCTTTGCCAGCCACTTGAGTAGTTTTCTCCACTACAAATCCTATTGATTCTTCCAGAGACACCTCGTCATGCACATTAAACTTCTCGTCCTAAGCAGATAACTTCATGAAAACAGAACATTCACCCAAGTAATAAATTCCAACTAAGATGTTCAATTACTCCTACTTCTATTTCCATAGACTGAAACACTTTCAGAATCATCGAAAGTATTTGCTTCAGTTCCAGCCTGTCTATGTGGTAAAACTCCATCTTATCTAGACCAATTTTGCTGTGCAGACCATCCTTCTGCAAATTCCTTGCAATTCTGTTAACGTACAAGCTCTTTTCCATCGAAACCGATGCCATTATTACCTGAAAAAAAAAAACACTCATTTTATTTAGATCAGAGTCATAAACTGACTTCCAACTTTTTCACAAGTCACCTTGATGTTTTTTTTAATCAGCGTTCAATTTTCAGTTCCCAATTGAGATCCACAAATAATGCTGAAACAGTCAACTACGCACCACTTTGAAGATACAGAGTTCTTGTCCAAGAACATTTTAGAAAGGGAAGGCCGCGACGTATTTTGGCTAAGACCTACAGATGTCGCACAATGTCCAGTTTTTGAACACGAAGGAAACGTCACTTACTATTCGAACGAAAGCCTTACCGAAGACAGTTTTCTATTCTTATGTGTTGCAGCAGCTTTGAAGAAAGCTGATAAATTGCCCATATGGCCGGCATACCGCAGTTCCGAAGAAGGCGATTACTTCAATGGGCGCTTAGAAGCAAAGTTTTATCGCAATGGAGTTCCTGGTCAATTCAACATTGACGACCTTCTACCTTACACCAATTTCCAAGGAAGCTTTGCGGCAGTATTTTCATATGGCTTGAACTCTAATGAGTTTTGGATAAGCTACCTGGAGAAGGCGTACACTAAATTCTTGGGCTCTCATGCTCTTGTGTTCGGAAAGTCGATTTTCGAGTTACTCAGTGAAATGTCTGGATGCATTGTTGAAAAGCTAAGGATAAAATACAAATCAGTGGATCGCGAATGGGCCATATACAACATTAAGACCCTTATGAAGGAGTATGATTGCTTCGGGTTGGCCAAAAGTGAAGATCTATGGGTAATATTTGAGAAGGATCCGAATCCCAGGTCTCGACACAAGGAAGACGTTGAGTTGTTTCCTCTGAGATATGGAGCTGTTCCAAGCATCATCGACTCCGTAACTATGAACGGCGACACTGGCGGTATAAAGCCTACAATTCTCGATGCTGAGTCCTTAGTGCAAAGCGTGGATGATCTGATGTTTTGTTGGTTTCCCTGTCCAAAGCTTCATACCAAAAGCATAGTCAGCTACTGGATGTGTGGTAAAAACTCCGGAGGTCCTCAGTTCGAGCCGAGCTATTACACAAATCCACAGATAAAACTGCTGGTACATGAGGACTTCCCGGAACAGGATGACGATGAGATCAAAAGCCAGATACTCATTCAAGTAGAGCTTCTGCGTCCCCATTATGGTACACTAGCTGCTAAAGTCTTCAAAGCTTCTCAGACAAGAGACCATTTGACAATGAAACGTCTACCATCGAGGTTCTTGAGACCAGATAATGTTTACCTAGCGTCAGAATCGACTGAAAAATTCAACAAGCCTTGGGTCACCCTTAGGATATCTTGGGCACGAGATGGGGATGTGTTTTTTATAGTTCCAAACTTGCCAGTGAAAGAGATGTGCGGTGGATTTCGGGTGAAAGTAATGTCCTCAGTTGTAATTTCGGAGCTTGAAGAAACAAAAGGATGTAAAGGCACCGAAAACGTTCCCAGGTGTCGCAAGGGCACTTGTGCTCGTCTTTGAAAATTCGACTTCAGACTTATCGCATGTTTAGAAGTAATACTATTGAAACTTTGAAAGTGCAACGAAAATAAATACTCTTGACAGCTTTGTTTTTTGATGCGACTTTCTCGGTAAAGAATTACTATTCATTAAGGCAAATAAACAATGACCAACAAATGGGCAAAGCGGAGCATCTCAACTTTCTCTGTCCTACTTTCTCTGTACGGTGAAGTCCCATTTGTACCACCAACGTTCATTTGTACCAAAATGAAAAATCGGTCCCATTTGTACCAAAATTATTCAACTCGTTTTCTGATTGGTCGAATTGTGAGCCAACGAATTCTTACATTAATTTTCTACTGTTCAAACAGAAGAAAACTAAGCAGTAGAATAGTGATCGCCGCAGTGGCGGCAACGTGTTGTGAGCTTGCCAACAGAGGGTAGGACTCTATACGAAAATTAGAGCCGGTTATTGCCGCGAAGCGGCGACGCGCGCCCGCCGGCGACCTTAAACCAAGACCTTAAACTAGTCGGCTCAGTAGTCTTTGGCCAATTGAATGTTTTTGGTACTAACGCGATTGATTTTTTATTTTGGTACAAATGGGACTGATTTATCATTTTGGTACTTGTGAATACCCACCCTATGTACATATATTTGAAAAAATATCAACCAACAGCTTCAAACATTTGTCTATAATTAAATTGAATTTCAGCAAAACGTGTCGAGGAACATACATGCAAGTGTTTAACAAAGTTCGCCAATTTGCATAAAAACCTTCACATAAAAACAATTTGAGCGAGCGATAAAGTTTATACACCAACCCAAAGCACACAAACATAGCACAGAGCTACTTAGAAAACTGAAGACAAAGGGTCCCGATAAATGAACAAATATCAAGACAAATAACAGTGTAAAGTGATGACAGGGATCGCTACAGGGCTCCCTCTTCTTCCTGGTGCGCATAAACGCTTGCCCGACAACATGTCACCAAACTTTGGCTATGCGACTGTGCTAGAATGGGCTGCATGCGATTGCTCACCTATCAAGTTCTTTTTTTTTCTGTCCGCTGAATATTTTAAAACATTTTGGAACGTTAAAAAAATTGCTTGACGGTTTTGTTAGAGAATCTTCCATGCTTGCTGTCTTCTCGAGAAGGGATCCCAATTTGAGGTTGTTCGCCTTTTTGAAGCAAGATTTGAGCGGTTTTTTTAGACGATTGCACTCAAAGTCTTGCTTCAAAATGAGCGGTTTTCGAACGGTTTATCTAAAAAAAAAACGCTCAAAATCCGCGCCAGATTTGAACTGTTTATCTAAAAAAACCTCGCAAGATTTGAGCGGTTTTTCTAGATAAACCGCTCAAAAACCACTCATATATTGCGCGGTTTTTTTAGATAAACCGTTCAAAAACAGCTCATTTTGAAGCAAGATTTTGAGCGCAATCGTCTAAAAAAACCGCTCAAATCTTGCTTCAAATTAGGTGAAAAATCTCGACTCGGGGGACAATTTCAAAATTATCGGCAACAACCCCATTATACTGAACATCGACGTGAGAAGAAAATATGGATAGTGCGCCGATAATTTCATGTCAATGAGACTATCGAAACATAAAATTAGTTCTTCAAAAATTCTTCGTGTGTGTCACTTTCCAACTACACATTCGAAAGAGCTTAAGTAATGAAAAACCTTGGAGTCCTAGTTGTCGAAAATCAAAGATGAGCTGCTCATGCGAATAGCAGTAAAAGCTATCAATGCGCTTTAAACTGTCAAACGGGGCTAGGTCTTTTACCAGACCGACCTTTTACCAGACCACAATGCAATAACTCAATTATTACAAATTAAAATTAGTGGAAGATTTGAAAAGGAGGCGGTTAGAACAAACAAAACTTTTTATTGTATCTAAAACAAACTTAAACAAAAAATTATTGTATCTAACCAGACTAAACGGCGTCAATACATCTGTCAATCAAATTTATTTGTCGAGTCTGGTAAAAGGTCCATGTTATAACTTTTCTGGTAAAAGGGGGTCTAGGGCAACAAGCCGACGGGACTTCAAGCCGAAAATTAAACATTACAAGCACCTAAAAACGCTAAATTTTTAACATTAAAATGTTTATTTTGAAAAAAAAAATAGGCAAGTTTAGTTCATCATAAGCGTTCTTCATGACAATGCACCACTTAAGAGTGGCATCAGAAAGTTGGATCAGCCGGATTTTGAAATGCATAAATTATAAACATGAAAAACCCCATGAACAATGTTTTAATTTTTTATATTCCTAAACATCAATTAGAGGCTCAAAAATAACAAAAAAGCCAATAACTTGTTAAGCAAGCTGATGAAATTGAGAAATTCTTCAAAACAATTTTCAAATTAATCATATTTCATAACCTTTTGACAAAATGTTCGGCTTGAAGTCCCTTATTATACGATTCGGCTTCAAGTCCCGTCGGCTTGATGTCCGGCACCCGGTAAAAGGTCGGTCCCCCTGTCAAATGAACCTAACTGGGACCATTCTCGTCCCATACATCTGCCACCTGGTACCAATCATCAGCTACGGTTCGGAGCTATGGATGCCACATAAAGGAACACAATAAATAATTGACAGTGTTCAAAGAAAAATTTTAACCTAGATTTTGCATCTAATAACTTGAAATACAAAGATAAGCTTCTGGCAATTGACATTTTACCTCTCTCCTTAAATCGGGAACTGTACTAGATCCTCTAATTCGCCAAATAAATCAACAGCTAAGTCGACATCCATTCGACCGAATACGTCTCAGTCTCTGAATTCGGAGGAACAAGAAGCCAAAACCGCAAATTTACAGCTAGTCTCATCAGATTTAAAAATGCGATTCCGATTTCCGAATTCGTGCCGACCAACCTCCTTAACGACTACTTTAGAGAAGACATCCTATTTGATCAACGACGCAAAGCGAAATTTCTTCAAGTATACAAAGCCAAAGAGATATAACGAAAACGACTCAAGAAGCTGGCGACTACTTTGTAGCTGCATCAACTGCACAGAAACGAAAAACCTAAATTTCCCAAGCTCCCATTTAAAAAAACAAAGATGTTAAGTAAAAAAGGGGGTTCTTACCAAACCCCTGGACTCGACGCCCAAAATCTTCTCTTAGTATTACAATTATTACTGTCGGCCAAAAAATCTAGGCCAAAAAAGATGGCCACGATAAAAAAATGGTAGCTTGGAAATTCAGAACAAGAGTCCATAATATTGAAAATCAGCTGATTAAAAATCTGCAGACGAATGATAGCACAAAGAAAGATTATTTCAGAACAACTTGCAAAAAAGTCCAAATTAAAATCCGATCTTTTGTCGTGCAATCAGCTGCATTTACCTTTGCGCCACAACAGCGAAACTGTAGCTGGAATTTGATATGCTGATAAATAAATTTAACCTATATTTTGCATGCCATGCGGATTTGTACTAAATCGGATCCCAGGAAAAGCTGATACTTGATTGGAATTACTTGCCTCCAAGAACAATGCAACACAACAGAAAAACTCATCTCAATCTCAACTGTTAGTTGCAAAGGTTCGGCTAATATCCGGGGCACAAATAATTTTTACAACAAGAAAATTGAAAACATGCTTGCCATCCCTCAAAACTTCCTTTGCTCGTGAACTGAGATCCAAAGTGGTGTACAAGCTTACATGTAGTGGATGTAACTCCACCTATGTCGGTCAGACAGTCCGACATTTAACCACGAGGGTCGATGAACACCGCAAAGGTGACTCCCCAGTAGGACAACACTTGTTAGAATGTAATAAGGAGGTAGGCGGTACTGCTGAGCTGAAGTCAGAGAGGCTTTGCATATTTGGAGGGAGAGGCCGAAGATCAACACACGCGATGAATTCAGGAGCAATAAAATTATAGTCTATGTATAACATGGCTAAAATTTAAAAAACTGGCATGTCAGAATCAAAAATGTTCGCAAATCGAAAAAAAAATTCTAACCAGAAAGAACAAAAAACTAAAAAATCTCAGAAATTTACAGGAAAATGTTATTCATGATTACGTAATTATATTATGTAATTTCAGTTGTTCAAATTTGATTGGTTAAAAAGTTTTGAAGCCTTTTTAGACACGCTTCTCATTTATCAGATCTTTGATCGTTTTGTAAATATTGTAAAAAATTTTAATCCTGATGATCAAAGAATGTGCCAAAGATTTTGAATTAACATTATAAATTTCTTATAACCATTTTTGTTAAATTCTAACCCTTTTAAGCGATAAGCTATAAGCAAACTGTTATATTCCTTTAAGGAAAACAGTCATAGTTCGAAAAAAATTTTTTTTTCTCTATTTGTACAGAATTTTATTATTACTTTTTGTTTATAATGTCAGTAGTGTTTGAGTTAAAATGGCGATGATTGTAGCTGCCAGCTCCCTTTATCACAGCCTGAAAGATCTTGAGCAAGAGGAACGGAGAGAGACGCAGCAGAAGGTTTACGCAGTCCCCGGCCTTTCTTTGAACCACAATACCTTGAACAGGGGGAAGGATTTACGATTGTTATTGGAACAGCAACCTCTGGCCAGTAAGCAGATTATTATCTGGCACGACGTGCTGAACAACAGTATATTCTCACATCGCACGAACAACTATACGCCCGGCCCACTTGACGAACTACTGGCGAATTTAAAATCAAAGCGAAGACAAATTAGTGGCATTGTCTACTGCAGGAGAACGGGCACTCCCGATATTTTTGAGGATCTGCGGAAGACAGAGATAATCGTCATAAAAACAACTGGTATAGCCTTATCTCTAGAAGGAAGAGACAGAATCCTGCGGTCCTCAGAGAGTATCTTCAACTGCACCAGTCAAGTGAATTGGAGTTGAAGTCACTACGGGTGGTGCTGTCCCATCGAGACCACCTGCCAGGCGTCTTCTCAAGGATACGGGGCCAGACCAAGAAACCATTACAGGGACGCCGCAGGGCAAAGGCGCGGAGAGCGGAGGTGTTGGCTGGCGACCTCCAGTCGGAACCGAACGACCAATAGGG